TTATGGATGTGCATGTCTCTGAATTGGGAACACTGGAGCCTACCTTTCTGTTAATAACTAGAGTGATAACTGTCAGTGCCAAGTAACAAGTCTTGAGTGACCTGTGTGCTCCAGCTGGAGGCAAATGAAGTCCCCAGTCCTTGCTGAAGGTGAGCCAGCTTGTACTGTCGTGTTCCTATAGGATGTCTTTATGTCTCCCCTTGAAGCCCAAGAAAGGAGACACGTCTGTCTGCATGTCCCAGGAAGAGCTTCCTTCCAGATAGCTGGTCCCAAAGAATATTTCTCCACTTACTCTGAGCCACTGTGACTATTTGTTGCTTTTATGTGCAATAAGAGGCAGATGTGCTGCCCAGTGTTGCCCAAAGTACAGAACTCTGTATGGAAGGGCACATCCCTTAAGCAGTGGTATACCTAATCCCTGTGGCATAGACCCACATGTGAGAGGTAATAGTAGGGCTCTGCCCTGGGATTTGGGATTTTTTTCCCTTCTCAGTTTGTCTCTTGGTTCTGGAATCTCACTGGAGGTTGGCAGCAGGAGTGCTGTGCTACTGAGTGTTGTGCTTGAGTCTTTTGGCTCCAGCAGGTGCTTTGCAGCTTTGTACTTGGGTGATTTAAACCTCCAGGCTGACATTTATATAAGCAGAGCCAAAATTGTCGTCTTCCTTCCAGATAAGACGTTCCATACCACAGGGTGAAAGGGATGGAGCTCTCTGGCAGCAGGTCCTTAGCACTGTGATGAGAGCAAATTCCTCTTCTAAATAACAGTAAAGGTCAAGAAATCCTCTGGCTGATGTGGGATCAAGAGAACTCAGGGCTCTCAACATCCTTCATGCTGTGCAGGATGAACGGTAGCTTGCTTTCTGTCTGCAGCTACCATGACAGGGCAAAATATCATAAGCACAGAGTTCAAGAGCTTAGATGGAACTGAATGCACTTTAATGGTGACCAGCAAATTATTATTTTTTAATTTTTTTTTTTTGCTTTGTTGCTTTTTTGTTTTGGTTTTGCTTTTTTTTTTTTCCTCTTTTTTTTTGCAGCGTGATATCGTGTAGAACTGGGACAGGAAACCTTCTGAGCCTGTGCTTTTTATGGGATTATCTATTTATTATTCTATCCAGAGTTTTATGTCTGCCATAGAAGAAATGTGAAGTTGCCAAGAAGCTCAGGGAAGCTCTGGAGTGGGGTTCATCCCTGTGGTTGTTAAGATAAAGGTTTTGTATTGTATCTTTCAACACAAGCTTCCTCTGCCTCAAATGCTTGTCCTTACAGGTAAATCTGTATTAGGAAAGCACCCACCTTTCAGTATTCTGGGGTGAAAACCCTTCCTCTTGATTCCAATTCAAATCCCTCACTGCATTTTTAACATTGCCTAAGCTGGTGAAATGGTGAGATGGTAAAATCCAAGCTTCCAATGTACAAAAGGCTCCTGGAACAGCCAAGAATAAAATGACCAGTTCCTTTTTCTGTCATCTTCATTTTTTTCCTCCACAGTAAGTTTGTGAAGTTTGGTTTTAAGAGACCCTGATGATGGATGCAGACCTGAGACCACGTTGATGCTCTTAATCTTTTATCCATCCTATCCAGCCTTCAGTTCTTTAAATCCTGCAGGGATTTCTCAGCTGGCTGTGAAACAGATTCTGAGCCATTGCATTTTACAGCTCAAAGACAAAGTAAATGCAAGGTTAAACCAATGCAAAGTTTTGGCTTCTGTTAATATGTCAGACTGCATTTTTTGGGGGCAGTTCCCACAGGAGTAACAGAGTCACCCTGGCTGCAGGTATAGTCTAGACAGCTGGAAATCTCTGCAGCCACTCAGCCAAATTAAAATGAAAATCAGAAGCTGTGAAGGTAGTGTTGCCCTAAAATGGAGATCTAAGCTAGATGGGAAGGGTAACATTTATATTGTAGTCTGTTCTGACCTACAGATTGCCATCCTCAGTGCTCTTCTTTTGCTGATTCATCTCCAGAGCATTGCTGCACAGCTCTGCTTGATGAGAGACATGTGGATGACTTGCAGTTACCCACAAGACTTCATGGAGAGCATAGATGTGGCACACTGTGTCCAATCAGGTTGTCCTGCTGTCTCATGTACACTTACATTGCAGGTAATGAATGGCCAGCTGCTCTTGGAGCTGTGATGATACTTTTAACCCTCTTTGGCAGCAGCACTATAAGGGACTTGGATGGGCAGTTACAGCTGCCCCCCCAGAATTCCTCCTCTGGTTATTTTTGCACTGTTTCTCTTATACGTATAAGAAAGAAGGGCCCAGATGGCCTTATCTGCTACAAGCTGTATGCATCTCATCTGTGTGACTTAGAATCATTAAGGTTGGAGAAGACAACTAAGATCAAGTCCAACCATCAACCCATCTGCTCTGTGCCCACTAACCATGTCCCTCTGTGCCACATCTGCTCTTTTCTTGCTCCTCCCCTCTGGCAGGACCAACAGGGGCTGGAAAACTTGGACTGTCCCCAAACCCCAATTCACACTGAGTTTATAGGGACTGGCCAGTGCTACTTCAGTACCTATAGGTTGGCAAAGAATTTGGGGAGTGCTGAAAAGGAAGGAGGTGGTCTGAATCTCAGGTTCTGTGCAACTCCTTAGCTGGTTCTGCAGGGGCTACACCCTTTGCTTTTATTTTTATGTCAGTTCTGGCTGCAATTTGAGTTCTTTCACTCTTTAATCTGAATGTCAAATCCAGGCTTGAACCCAATGCAAACAAATCCAAACACTCCAGGTCTGTGCTGCTTTCAGCCATGCCCTTCCTGGGCTCCCAGGGCCAAGGAAGAACCCAAGCCCCAGACTGCACCTCCAGTTTACAGTTTCAGTCCTCTTCCTCTCTCCTGCGGGTTTCTCCTTCCTGCCTTCTACCTCATGCTTCCAGTGCTCCAAAATAACCCTGCTTCCACCCAATGTTTGGAGGAGTCCAGGTGCAAACAGCACAGTGCTGTTCCTGATGCTCAGCCTTGCTCTGCTTGCTGCTGGCTCTCCAGTGGGGAACTCGATCGTAGCAGCTTCCCACCAACTTTATGAAGTTGATCCAGAAAAAACAAGGTGTGACTCAAGCTGGTGCCTTGGAAGAAAACCTTATGGCTCCAAAGAATTAACTCCTTGTACTGCACACAACCATTGCTTTGCCTGGAAGAGGTGGAGGGGATTCTTCTTCCTCCCCCTGCATGAATGAAGGAATTGTGCTTGGAGTTGCAGGGAAAACGTTGTTGATTCTCAGCTTAAAGAGTCATCGAGTCATAGAATCACAGAATATCCCAAGTTGAATGTGACTCTTGTAGATCATAGAGTCCATGGGTGGGGAATGGAAGAGCACAAACACAATTTCTTCATTTTTTATTTAATGTCTTCAGGGCACTTCACACATTCAAAGCCCAAATCTCAGCAGCAGCAAACAAAGCCTTCAGTGTGCTTTGGATGTGCATTGCATCATGCTCTAAGCAAGCACGGGCGTGAAATATGCCTTCTACTTCTTCATTAAAAAAAAAAAACAAACCCCAACATGACAGAATACTGACAATCTCAAGTGTTTACCTGAACTTTCTCACACCCAATTCATCACCTACCTCTGTCATGTAAAGGGAAAAGGTGATTTTGCAGCTGCCTGCAAGAAGATGGCGCCTGTCCCATAGGCATGAGCTGAGATTTCCAGCACAGCCATTAAAATGCCTTTTAACAATGTAGTAATGTTGGGTCATAGAATAGCTGGGGTTGGAAGGAGGGTACACACGATCCCACCATCTGTGTCATTGATAAAGATGTTGAAGAGCATAGATCCCAAGATGGATCCCTGGGGGACACCACTCATCACCAGCTCCACTTGGACATGGAGCCATTGACCACAGCCCTTTGGCTACAACCATCCAACCAGCTCTTTAACCACCCTTCAAAACCAAATCTCTCCCGTTTGGAAATAAGGATGTGGTACAGGACCATGTCAAGGGCCTTACACAAGTGTTTTGGAGGAGAAAAATGGGAAATGAGTGAAAGCTGTGCAAGCCTGGATGGCACTCATGTAATGGGCAAGAAGAGGATGGATGGGCCCTCTGGATCCCAGGGGAAGAAAAGATGGAAAAAGCTCCAAATCTCCCCCTGTTCTGGAGGACTCCCAGCATGAAATGGTGGTGGTTGAGCTCACAGCATGATTTGTTTCCTGTTAAATGCCCCAATGGTGCAGGGATGGAGCCTGGAGCAGCTCTGGTAGTGGCCACTTCCCCAACTCCATTAACTCCTGTAGAATTTCTTGCACAGAGCTACTTTTTTTGGCTGATAAAGCCAAATCCCAGCATATTCCCTTGGTGCCTAACATGGATGATATCCCTTGAAGTGGTGAAACTTCTTGTCCCCTCTTCAGGTCCCACATTCTCTTTCCTGATCCAACTTGTCCCATCTTCTGGTCCCATCAGGATAACACTTGGCTTAGGTTGGAAGGGACATTAAAGATCATCAGGGATGTGATTTAGTGGGGAAATATTGGTGGTAGGTGGATGGTTGAACTGGATAATCTTGGAGGTCTTTTCCAGCCTTGGTGATTCTGTGATTCTATTCTATGAACTCAACCCAGTTCCTGTGGGCATCCCTTTCCCTGCCAGCTTGGAGCTGCACAAAAGGACTTTTCCCCACTTTTTAGCACTCCCATTTTCTACAACCTCCCTTTTCTTTCATATCCTCCTTTTTTCACATCCTGTGGAAGTGCTCAGCACAGTTCCCCATTCCTTCTGTGCTGGAGATGGAGCTGCAGTGTTGTTCCTCACCATTTACTTGATGTGTTTTTACAGCCCCGTGGTTGAAACATTATCTAAATGTCTCTTTTGATAGAGTAAATATCTGGGGAGAATTTGGGTCTGATAAAGCAACATCAGAGCTGAAGCACCTCCAACTCTGACCCCCTTGGTTGAAGATGCTGGGAGGCTTTGAGGTTGCTTATCTCCTAAAAACACCATTTTAGAGAAAAAAAAAAAAAAAATCCTAAATCCTGTAATGTTAGGAAAAAAAAAAAAAGTTCTAAATCCCATCATTTTAGAGAAAAAAAGTCCCCCAAAGCAGCATTTTAGAGATAAACTGTCCAGTGCCACACAGGATGCAGGAAAATGGGGACACAGTGAAGAGTGGTGCTGGGCTTTCAGCCCCTCACCATTGCAGGGAGTCCCTATGGGATTTTTGGGAAGAGATCACCCTCAGCTCATGTCAGGGCAGGAATGAGGTCCCCAGGTCCTATTCCAAGGGATCCTCTGGGTCCTATTCCATGGGGTCCTCCATTGTAGGTGGCCCATCCTAGATGAACCCCTGGGTCTTACCCCAGCTGATCCTTCAAGCTCCATCGCAAGTGATCCACCATTTGCCACCCCATATGAACCCCCCAGATCCTATCTTAAGCAATCCTATAAGCCCCATCCCGGAGGATATCCCAGGTCCCATCCCAGCTGTACCACTCCAAGTAATCAGCCAGGCCTCCTCCTGTCACATCCCGGAGGATCTCATCAAATTCCCTCTTAGATCATCCCCAGGTCTTATCCCAAGGGATCCCCCAGCTCCCATCCTAGATGATCCCCCACCAAGGAACAACACCACCTGATTCCAATGTCCTACCCTAAGTGATCCCCATCCAGGTTCCATGTTAAAGGGTTTACCAGATCCTATCCCAAAGGATCCTCCAGGTCCCACCTAGATCTCCCAACAGCCATTCCTAGTGACCCCCCCAAAGTCCCATTCCACTGTCCTTGAATGATCCTTCGTGATGGTAATGGAAACCTCACCATGCTCCCACGAGCCAAATTAGGGGAGAAATGGGGAAAACGGGCATTTTCCACAGGATGAAAATTGATGATGAGAATGCAGGGCCAACGTTCCTGGCTGTGGTCCATCCACCCGTTAAAGGCTATCATTAAGAAAAACAGCTCAGGATGATCAGTGTGAAAACGCGCCAGTAATTAAACAATCCCAGAATAGAAGGAGAAAAGGTCAGCCCTAAAAATACAGCGCACGATTTTGTCTCTGAAGCATTCATAAATAACCATATTTTCGGGAAGGTCTAATTTTAGGCACTTGGATACCACAGCCTGGTGTGACCCCTTGGCTTATCTCGATGGTGTTGGATTGGTTTCTTTTTTTGGGGGGTTGCTTTTGCCTCTTTTAATGTTTTCTGTTTCTTGTGTGTGTGAGCAAGAGGGCAGCACGTGGTGAAAGCATCAATGTTGGTGCTGTTGGGTTGGGGTGGAGTGAGCGTGGGTGTGCTCAGTGCTGACACAGCTCTCCCAGCATGCAGGTTCCTGTCTGCTTTTCCCAACGCTGGGAAAACATTTGGGGCTGCCAAAAAAGTTGAGATCCTTATGTTTGGTTGTACATCCCCAGAATTACTATTTCCCACTTGGAATGGTTCCGTCGTGCTCACACCACTGCTCTGCTTGCTTGGTAGTGGTGGAGCATTGATAAGACCCATTGCAATTAATTCTCTTTCCAAATCCTTCAGGCAGAGAAAGGAAATCCTCCCAGCCCCAGGGTGCAGTGGGGTTTCACCTGCTTTGTGGAGAAACTGAGTCAAGGCAGCATCATGGGGTGGATTAAGATAATTCTGTCCTGCCTTGTTTGAAACAGGGGTCTACCAACCCTCCTCTAGGGATGGGGAGCGAGATAAAAGAGCCCTCAATGCCTTTCCTTTGGGAGAAGCCAGAACATGGGTTCAGCCAACAGATTCCAAAAGGGATGGGATTTTGGGATGCAGATGGCCACAACCCAGGAACTGAGTGCTGAGCAGCCCTGGGGAGCATTTTTCCATCTTTTGGGGTGAAAAAACGGAGAGAAGAGGGATGGGAGCGATTATGTTCCCAACCCCATCCCTGTTACCCCATCAGGGCAGTGTCTTTTTTGAGGGTGTTTCTTAGTAGTGGTCTCAAAGTGAAGCAGAAGGAAGCACTGGTAGACATGGGGAGACATTTTATTGGACTCAGCACGTTTCTTGTGGTGCACAATGACCACTATCACCTCTGTGAACACAAGAGGTACATCTTGAGGGTGAAAGCAGGAGGGTCCCCCCCCCAAATGTCTATCATCATCCCAAGCTGTCATGACCCAAGCCCTGTCCTGCATCCAACATAGATGTAGGTTGGTGATGCTCCAGTTGGGATAAAAGATCATTTTGCAGCCCAGGATGGCAGACAGAAGGCAGTAGGGGATGAAGGGGCTGGGGACAGCCATGGTCTCTGTTTTCCCTATGAAAAAAAAAAATGAAGTAAAAATTTTTAAAAAGCACCTTAACCATTGCTTTTTCCAACCACCACCATCAGCAGCAATGCAGGACGTGGTCAGGGGTGGGGAACGAGACATTTGAGGTGCCATTGCATTTGATCCATGGCTTTCAGAGCACGTGGGGTCGGGCACGAGTTACCTGTGGGCTGGGAACGAAGCTCACTTCTCCGTCATCATCCTCACAAACTCCTCGTAGTTGACCTGCCCGTCATTGTTGCAATCTGCCTCCTTGATCATCTCGTCCACCTCCTCGTCCGTCAGCTTCTCTCCCAGGTTGGTCATGACGTGCCGCAGCTCCGCCGCGCTGATGTAACCGTTGCCATCCTTGTCGAAGACACGGAAAGCTTCACGGATCTCCTCCTCGCTGTCCGAGTCCCTCATCTTCCTCGCCATCAGCGAAAGGAACTCGGGGAAATCAATGGTGCCGCTGCCGTCCACGTCCACCTCTCCCACCATGTCCTGCAGCTCCGCCTCGGTGGGGTTCTGCCCCAGTGAGCGCATGACGGTGCCCAGCTCCTTTGTGGTGATGCAGCCATCGCCGTCGCGATCGAAAAGGGAAAATGCCTCCTTGAATTCAGCGATCTGCTCCTCCGACAGCCGCTCGGCCATGGCGTCCCGCGCTCCCCGCTTGCACGCGGCTTTGCCCCAGCACGCAGCGCTGGCGGGGAGGTGTGGATGGGGCCTCCTCCTTCCTGTTCTCCCACTCCTCGAGCCCCCTCCTTCTCTTGGGGCCTCCTCCCTTCTGTCCTCCCTTTCCCGGAGGAGGAGGAGGAGCTGAGGCATGCAGGAGTTTTCCTGCTCCTTGCTCTTGCAGGTCCAGGCAGAACCCAGCTGTGATGTACTGCTTGTGCTGCTCGCTGATGGGAACCTGAGTCAGCCATGACACCATGTCTGGGCTCCCCGAGCACGGCCGCATGGCCCCAGGGAGCTGACACAGCCATAAATCAGGTGAGTTTTGTCATGAAGCTCATGCCCTGGTTAGTCAGGGGTTAATCCTGAGGGGAGGTTAATCACCGTGTCAAGTTATTTCATTTTGTGCTCGTTTTTTACATCAGGGAGTTGAGAAGCACGTGAGGACAAGGGGCTCAGGAGCACATGATTATGTGCTTCTTTGCCTAGTTGTCCTTGTTCATCTGTCCATCCAGTCAACTAACCAACTATGCACCCATTCATCCCTCTGTCCATTCAATCTTATGTCCATCCAGTTGCCCAGCCATCCACCCATGCGTCCATCCATTTACCCAACCACATTGCCATCCATCCATCCATCCATCCATCCGTCCGTCCGTCCATCTGTCCATCTGTCCATCTGTCTGTCCATCCTTCCGTTCATTCTTTTTTCCATCCATCCATCCATCCATCCATCCATCCATCCATCCATCCATCCATCCATCCTTCCATCCATCCATCCATCCATCCGTCCATCCATCCATTCATCCGTCCATCCATCCATCCATCCATCCATCCATCCATCCATCCATCCATCCACCCCCCTCTTTTTCCCATGTCCCCATAATGGCCAAGTGACTTTCACCAGCTGGAACAGAATACTAACGGGACCAGATGACCAAACTCTACAGCAGAATACAATCTGACTTTCTTGTCTACAAGAAAACAACACCACTTTTCCCCATTTTACCCCAGTGAGGACGTAAAGCTGTGAGATTTGGATGGAATGTCATGAAACAGAAGCAAACTATGGGATAGCATGGGAATTGCATTCTCCAGGTGGGACAGAGCTTGGGAGGAGAGCACCTAAGAAAAAGCTCATCTGGAAAAACCTCTTGGCACGTTCAGGTGTTGCTGGGAGGAATGGGCTGAGCCATGGTGGAAACCTGTCTGGCGAGAGGCATGGTGTGTTTCGGGGAGGGGAGCCTTTGGGAGCTCCTCTTGTGCAACAAGCTGCTCCCTGATTTTCCATCTAACTGCCTTCTCTTGCTGTTCTTCTCCAGGATGAATCAAAACTGTTGTGAAAGAGCCCCTGGGAGGATGGGAAGAGGAGGGAGCTTGGTGGAGGTGGCTGGGAGAAGCAAACACCATCAGACAGCCTCCCCATCAGCATCGTCCATTACTTTCCCATTGACCACAGCCACTGGGAGAACGTCAGCCCTTGATGTTGACCATGCTTAATTGCACCCTCATTAGTTCAGTGGGGTAATTAACCTCGTCAGACTACCTTCTGGCCCATAAAACGCTGTGGTTTATGGCCGGGTCCTATTTATTGCATCTGGGAGGACAGGAAAGCAGCTCTGAGAGTTTCTCTGGGTTGCGTCCAACCAAGGCTCGAGGGGTCGATGCTTTGATGGAGGAGGGAGATGAGGCCGGTGGGTGCGAGTGGCTCAAGTTCAAGCCTCACGAAGCATTTTCCAGTCGTTCTCTCCTCCTGATGTCTGGCTGATCCATGAAACAGCAAAAAAAAGAAAGCCCCAAAATGAGTGGTTTAAAAGCACCCAGACGGATTACCCTGAGCCGGCGTGGCTTGCAGTGCAAGCACAGATGTGTGCAGCAACGTCTGGGTTTGCATTTGCAGACGAGGCAGAGGGAAGGGGAGGCTGAAGAATTTGTGGAAAAAGGAGAAAGTTGGAGGTGGAGAGCAAAACTGCTCTGGCAAAGAACCTCCATGGGGCCCCTGCATGAGCCTGGATGTGCTGGGGCCGGTCCCACCTGTGGGGATGGGGAGGAACAAAGCCTAGGAGGGATTGCGTTGGGGTGCAAGGTACAAAATAGGATTTTGGAAAGGGTCTCTGGGAGTTTGGTGTGGTTTGGAGACTCAGTGCTGCTCCAGGTCCCCCACTGCACTGGGGTGTATCCCACTGCTGCGTCCCCATGTCCATTGGCAGCAAGGAAAGGAGTGGCTGGGAGCCCAGAGCAGCCAGGAATGCCCGTGTTTAGTCTAGTGCAGTCTGCACATCCAGCCCTGGAGCGCGTGCGGGTTCAACGCAATCAGGGAGAGGAACCACTGGGACGTGCTGGGGGGAAATGAAGTTCTTGGCTGGTTGGCTGTCTGCCCCCTTCATGAAGATCAGACCAATGTTCTGATGTGCAGGAGGCTCAGTGGGCTCACTGCAGGATTTCCTCTTCTTTGAGGTCGAGCCATGCGCACCCACAGCTCATAATGTCTTTTTTTTTTTCCTGCCAAAAGAGCCTTTTTTTCCACATCATCTTACTCCTAAACGCAGAGAGGGCTGAGCCCCTTCCAGCTCAAAACTTACATTCAGTGGGCAAAAATGCTGTGCAAACCTCTGACACACAGCCCTGGCAGACCCAGGGCAGTCGGCATGGAGCTGTGCCCATACGCTGCCATACACGGTCAACCTGCAGTGTTTGGGGAGGGAGCAGTTATCAGGGCTGCTTCCTTCTATCCCAGAAGGTACAGCAAGCTCTGCAGGCTCTGCAGTGAGTCACGGAGCTGTGCCCTGTTTTACAGCACCCACCCGTCGCACAGGGAGGGCGGTGTCAGGCCACGTGCTGGGCCATAAACCATTCGCTCATAATTTCAGGGAAAAAAGGGAGAGGATTGTGACACAGAGCAGCTTTCTTGTGAATTCAGGACCCAGCCATGTGCAGGAGAGGCTGGGGGCATGAGAAGTGCAGCTGTAAGCTTATCTCTTCTGTATGAGCTCAGCCTTATAGCCCCAGTGGCATTATCCAGTCCCACCCAGGCAGCGACTCACACAGACAAGCAGGAGGCCGTCAGGAATTTAATTGTACTTGGCACTTGAAACTGTACAAAGACATTTACAGAGAACCGTGCAGGTTTGTGTGTGTGTGTGCACCCTCTTCCCATTTCCAACTAAACCAGAACTTCACCTGAGAGTCAGGGCTCCCAGGTTGGTGTCATGGTGGATGGTGCGGATGTCACCTTCAGCCATACAGCAGAACAACGTTTTGGCTTTGATCAGAGCTGTCACCACTTTGTTTTCTACAACACTTTGCAGCACAGGTTCCAAGCTGGCATCTCACGGGAAATCTTTGGATCACTGTAGAACATGGCAGTGCTACCATTATACACTTATATACAGTCGTATCTCTCCTGTCTTTAACTCATCAGCTTCAGCTGCTTTCTTTTCTCTATGCTTTCTTTTCTCTATGCTTTCTACCACATGCAGTATCCTCTTGGTTGCCTCCAACCCTGCCTCTCACAGGCAGTGAGAAGCGTTTCATTTGCAAAAGACAACAGAACAATAAAGCTACTCTTGCTCCCTCTATTCCCTCTATCTGCTCTTCTTCCCTCCCCAAACCCTTTGCAACGTGCCTAAAACCTTCCTACGCCCCATACAACCCAGTTCTGTGAGTGACGTGAGAAGCAATTTGTACATCTCTGAACAAGAAGGATCGAGTACTCGAAAGGAAATGCCAAGTCTGAAAGACTAAAAGATGACAACAACAATACAAAAGTAAAAAAGAAAACCAAAGAAAAACGAAACAAAAACCCCAAACCAACCCGAAACAAAACAACTAATTAAAAAAAAAAAAAAATTAAATACGTGGCAGGTTACGTGAGTGAAAATGAGGAATGTACAAATGGACACACTAAAATGAAAGATTCCAGTAGGTAAGTTGAGAACCTGTTGAACCTGGGGTCTGTTTTTTGTGGGATGGGTGGTGATAACCACACACTGCAAAAGACAGAAAGAAAATGGTGACTTCAGCTTTGGAGCGCACTTTGAAGGGATTTGTGTGGCACTGATATGACTGCAAGGAGGGACTCTGCCAGGCTCCAGGTGATGGCACAAACTTCTGCTTTAGAAGCCTCAACCACCACATGTGAAAATCTTTCCGAAACCAAAAAGGTGTTCTTCACAAATCTGCTGTAAAGTGGTCAAAATGCTGACTGACAGTGTCAGAGTGGGCTCAGAGTGGTCCCTTTTGTAAAAACAGACTCCAGTTCAACAGTGTTAACTGTATACCAGTAGCTGCCATTACAACATACAAAAAAAAAAAAAAAAAGACACTTCTGTTCAGTAGAGCAAATCCAATCGTGCTCACATGACAAGAAAAATGTACACGTTATTTATAAATAAACAGTTCCACCAGGCTGGCACTGAGCTCCTCCCTACACCAGTGTTTCTTTCCGCTTGCTGCTGAGTTGCTTCTCTCTCGTTTTCCTGTGCCCAGACAGTGTTCTGTGTGTTTTCGTGCCCTTGGCTGCTTCCTCTGAGTCCAGGATGGAGCCGCACTCAGCTGTGCTCTCATCGAGCTCCATCTCAGTGATGCCTGACATGGCAGATTGCCTCCTCTGGGCTCTGACGTTGGGCACAGATGGGTTGTTCTCCTCCGACTCCTCGCTGAGCTCTGGCAGCTCCTTCAGCTCTGTGGCAGCAGCAGGCCGCTGGAAGGGGGCAATGGCGGTTCGGATGCAGTTCACCCACTGCTGCTTGTGGAAGATATCGTTGGCCTGCAGCGTGTGGGATTGGCCTGGGGAGGGGTCTTGGAAACGAACTCTGAAGATATTTTTAGCTGAAGGTAAACATAGGAAAAAGCAGATCAGTCCTGAGCTCAGTATTTAGATTCCATTATTAGACAAGCGACCCAATCAGCCCTGTTTTGCTTCAGGGAAAGCGTTCAACATCTCCCCAACATCCCCTCCCCTCCCCCCCACCCTTCCAAAAATCCCCAGCACTGATACATTGAAGTATTTTCTAATCTTAGCACCCACTGCAAGGCGCCATATAAAAGTTTATGGCCTCCAGATACAACATTGCAGAGCTCAGAAATGGCAGCACTATGGTGGATCCCATAGGGATCCACGACTGGACGTACCCTCTTGTCCTCAAACAACCCCCACACAGAAGGGTTGGGTTGCTTTGTACCTTTATCTGAATTGCCAAACGCTCCTCGGAAAGAGCCTCCCATTTTCACATCGCCGTCCTGCAGGTCTTCCAGGATCAGTTCCTGCACAGGGATGGGCTGCCTGTACACTTGGTAGGACTGACGCTCGTTGCGAGTGACCGGCCGGGTCAGAACCAGGATGTCTTGGAAGAGGAAGACATAGAGTTTCTGAAAGGGAAAGCATGTTTGAGCATGAGGAAAACATTGTACTCTATATGCCAAGTGATTACACACCCTCTGGAATTCAAGGTCACATTATCTCAAGTCTCACCCATTTTAACTTTCGGATAGTTTTCTGTTGCAGTCACGTAGGGCTCTAACAGTGATGGCATACACAGGACTTAAATCAACAGATTTATTGTCTTATGACCCTTAAATTGGATTATGATGTGCAGATGGCAAGGATAAAACAAGTAGAAGCAATACATTTCCAACCAA